TCGTCATCATTGTTGTCGGTGTCCTCCCCTCGCTCATGCGCCAGCAGCTTCCGCTGCCTCTTCTTCCTCTTGTCCTCCTTCACCTACCTAAGCCACTCGCCCTCAGCGTGATTCACCGCCCTCACAGATGAATCCCTCGGCAACAAAGTTGGGTGATCCATGAGGATGAGGTCCCTCGACTGGTCCCCCAATCTCAATGTTAGTATCAAGGGGTCGGGAGTTCAATTGAAGAGGAGGCATGAGGATGGAAAACTTACAAAGACGACGTATCCTAATTCCGGCCGCATCGGAGGATGCCCCGGCACCGGGTTCACAAAATCAAGGGGGGCACCCATGTCATCCTGCAAAGGCTCCATCGCCTCCTTGATGTGCTGCATGACTTCAGAGTGGGAGAGCGCTCCCTTAGGAAGCATTGTCCCATCGAATGACGCCTCGGGCTCCATCGCATACAGCGGAAGCGCGCGCCTCATCAACGGCACCACCCTCCTTGTGTGGTAGGCCCCGATGATGCCCAACCCCTTCATGCCCCTCACCTTCTGGATGCAGATGGCAGTGAGGTGGTCCTAGATCTTCTTCTTGTCCTTCTCTGGGACACCCCACTTCCTCCATGAATCCAGGGCCTCTTCGATTAGGCGTCCGGTGAACTCCGGTAGGGGGGCGGCTGCGTCGTTCTTAAGATAAAACCAATGCGAATGCCACCCCTTGTTGGAGGTCGACAGCCGCATCGATGGGTACTCACCGACCCGATTGTCTTGGAGGTGGATGTCAGCGCATCCCATCAGCGTATTCAGCTCCTGCTGCTTCTTCCTCTTTTTCTGGAGGGTGACGGCGAAGAAGTGCCGCCATAGATCAAAGTGGGGACTGATCCCTAGAAATCCCTCACACAGGGCGACGAACGCCGCCATGTGCTCGATTGCATTAGGATTGAGGTGCTGCAACTCAATCTTGTAGTAGTGCGGCAGCCCCTGAAGAAATCTATGAGCAGGGGTAGCAAACCCGCGCTCATGGAAGTGAACGAACAACACCACGTAGCCATCGGGCAGCGACGACACATCCTCCTCACCAGGCAGCAGCCACTCCTCAGCCACGGTCCGCACGCAAAGAAGACCACGATGGACACGGACCTCCATGCGTTGGAAGGTGATGTCCGAGCGGCACCACTGATCCATTAGAAGATGGGGGCAGGTGGATGCGAGCACGATGGCGGCTGGGACGTGGATGCGGGAAACCTAGGCGATTGTCCATGGAGGTTGTAGATGCGAAGGCAATAAGGCAAGGTATGAAACCCTAAGGGCAAACCCTTTGGTTTTATAGGGGCGACGATTGCGAGGAAACCAACCGTTCGCCAAGATCTCCACGCCTGCCATGATCTGCCACAACATCATGCCACGGGATATGCGCACACAATCCCTATCCTTTCCCTCGGAAGACTCGCCGGATGTTTTGCCTCCCCAGGCGGGCCGTGACTCGTCATACAGATCAAAAAGCACATCTATGGCCCATCTAGGCCCAGGAGTTCGAAGGTTTGGCCCATCAACGGGCTCGACAACCGCTCTAGGCACCCTTAGGATAAGGGAAGGGCCTACAAGCAACCAGTACTCAGGTGCACGAGCGCCATAGGCATCTCGGCCCTCGATCAAGGCTCAGCCAGATTGACCCTAGCCGGATCCCCGCGAATAGGATGTCGGGACCCCAATCGAACTATCCAGCTAATGAACCACCAAATCTCATGGCCATACCCGCAAAGGGTCCAACCTCGGCAAGAAGGAATCACTGTTCCCAGGACATGCCGTGGGCGACAAAAGAAGGCCAGGGCCCTCAGAGTCCTCCCTTTCAAAAAAACCTCTGAAGGAGTATTCTACTCCTTCGTATGCTCGGGGGCTACACCCATCAAGTGCGCTCGCGCACACCCACTGGCAAGTTGAAAAATCCCCCAGGTGATTCTACCCAAAATCACCTAGAGGCTCGGGGGATACACCCACCGGGTGCGCTCGCGCGCACCCACTGGCAAGTCGAAAAATCCCCCAAGCGATTCTACCCGAATCACCCGAGGGCTCGGGGGCTACTGTCGGGGACCAATACTAGGGTACCCGAAGAGGAGGAGCTGATAACCATCAACGTTGGTTCATCTGAGCTATCAAGAGCGCGACTACATCTCCTGCTGGGCTCCGCCTCGTCCGACCACCGAGGCCATGGGCTTCGCCTCGTCCGACCCCTGAGGGTTGGCTCCGCCTCGCCCAACGTCTGAGGGCTGGCTCTGCCTCGCCCGATGTCTGAGGGTTGGCTCCGCTTTGGTTGACCCCAGAGGGTTGGCTCCGCCTCGGCTGATGTTTGAGTGTTGGCTCCGCCTCGCCCGACGTCTGAGGGCTAGCTCCGCTTCACCCGATCCCTCAGACAAGTTTCCTAACGGAAGCTCAGGCCGCCACCAACCACTACGGGCCAGAAAATACTACCCAAGGTCAAACTTCTGGCATCGTGCAGGGAGCGGTCACGTCTCAGCACGACCCGTCCCCACGACATGTCATTCCAGGGAACTCACATCGCCTACAGTGATGGACGCGTGGTCACTATGCTGACCACTCCTGTGACGCCACGCTCATCGATCAAGACGCTTGGTCAGCACAGACCGCCTTGCCGGGTGAGAGCAGGACATTACGACCTGCTGACAACGCTAGGGCATGGCAGCGTCGTGAGACGAGCACCAGCGATGGGGCTATCCTGTCAAGACCTACCATGTCGGTGAGGCCCGCATGGAGGAAAAGAAAGGCCCCAGCGACCCGAAAGACTTCCTCCGCCTCTCATTCTCCTTTTTCGCCCATTTGTAACATGTGCTTTCCCTTGGCCTATAAAAGGGAAAGTAGGGCGTTCCACTAAGGGGCATCGGTTCACCACATCGCACATCACACCGCATCACAGCAGAACCACTAGTATCGAACCTCAAACACATAGCTGAATAGCGACCAAGCTCTCGGCACCCATTCGATCTTTCCATCAGAGACTTGGGACCTGTCCCTCTCTCGCCCATTTGTAACCCCTACTACAAACTTTTTAGTGCTAGTAACACGAGCAGCAGCCATGAACTGGACGTAGGGACATTCTGCCTGAACTAGTATAAACCTTGTGTCTTCTTAGCACACCATCCGGACCAAACGCGCAATAATACAAATTTACTCGTTAGTGTTTACTCGAAACACCGACACTAAGCACACGTGAATGTTGTATGCAAAGATGGAAAATATGAATAAGGGGGTGAAAAAGTATATAATATAATTAGTAACTAAAGTCAATCATAAGCGGATAAATATTCGAAGTGTGATTCAAGTATGCTATTAGAATGCAGACACATGAAAGACTATTAATTGAACACACGTCAAACACACATGGATGTGTGATGCAAATAAGAAACCATGAACAATGATCGAAAAGTAGAATATGAACAAATGAGAGATATTATCAATTAAACATATGTGAACACATACTGAGGTGCGATGCAAAGTGGACAACTATAAACCATATGCAAAGCAATCAGGGGCGGATCCAGGCCCTGGGCTAGGGGGGCTGCAGCCCAGGGCGGAGCCCAAATTTCCTACAAGCAGGTCTTCTGCAGCCAATACAAATCCCTTACGTTCAGCCCAACATAGCCCCTCCCGCAGCCAGCCCAAGGAACCCTTTACTAATTAGCCCTCCCCGGATGGTGTTTCTAGATCCGCCCCTGAAAGCAATTGGTAACTAAAATCTATCACAACCACATATTGATAAGAAAATACCTAGATGAGTATTGTGCTACAATATGAACAATATAGAGACAACAAAGACAAGCTATAACAACAGCTTGCACCAAAAACCCACACGTTGGCATTGAGAATACAGGGTTCAGATCACACATACATGATGATCACTTTCTTTAATAAATTAGAGTTCAAACGTTCTCATGATTATTTTCAAGGAAAATATATCATCCTTGTTTTTCAAGCAAATACACAACTCATCTCAGAAAAAATGGAAAAATATAGTTCACATACAAACTCTCATGGCCATTTTCAAGGAAATACATGGCCCATGTCATAAAAAATACACTTCACATAAAATCTACAAGTTTACTTTCAAGGAAATATATAAACCTTCTTATAAAAATAGAGACAAATATTGTTCACACTTGTGGTTCATCTGCCTCTTCAATGTGATTTTAGAGTAAGAAGCACAAATATGACAACCTCTGCGAATGCTTGCAATCATCTTGCTGAATGGGACCACTCCTCAGTGCTTAAACAACTCACATACCTGAAATATTGATTTGCATATATAGTAAATAAGTTGAAATGCAAAGGATTGAGCAACCATGTAAAGAAAAATGTAACCGCAGAATTTCTTCAAGCAGAGCATAATGAGATAAGGTGGTTTTGCCGAGGAATACACCTAATCCAAAACAATTCAATCTAGAAAAAGCACTATTACAAGATTAAAACATGAACTACCATCCAGGTACATGATATATTGGTTTACCTCGATGATTTGATTAGTTCATTTAACATAAAATCATCTTAGGACATATCAAACCAATTAACCTGTTAAAATTTATTCTCCAGATATTAGCACACTTTTTATCAGGGCTGCCATAAGGAAATCAGTTTGATTAGCATACGTGGTGCGTTTCAGTTGGTTAGCTATTCTTTTTTTTTTATCTGCGAATCAACTTTTAATTTGTACCAAACTTTGATGTCTACTAACTGAAACAAGAACAACCAAACTAGCTTGAAAAAAATTGGATACTTTGTTTAATAAAAGAAGGAAACTGAGCGTACATCCAGTAACCGAAAACTCATAAAATGTCTAAAAAAACTGTTGGTGATTATGTTCTAGCTAGAATGCTGGTGCCGAAAATTTTCTTTCGAGAACTTGCTGAGAACGTTTTTCATTAAGGAGAATCAAGAATACAATAAACACAAGAAAAAAAAACAACACAACAAGTAACATGAACCACCCCCAACCCACAAGGATGATCAACGGCAAACAAGCGCCGAGAGGCCCTTGTACCCTGCCATCATCCATGAGCTAATAGCATCATCTAGGATGATTGGTGCCAGAGCAACCGGCTGCCTCATCTACAATGGCGGTGCCTAAAATTACAAATCAATTTTCCTAAGAGCATAAAAGAAGGGGATAATTAAGAGATGCACATACTCATGCTTTCACAAAATATAAACGTATTAGGACAGGAAAATACAAACTGTTTGGACACAAACATATGAGCCGTGGAGGCTGAGTACCCATCCTACCAGAAAAGACTAATGTTGTGAATCATATCAGAAATAATCTACAGGGATTATGCAGGAAGCCTTCGTCGACGCCCCCTAGACAGGCGAAGGCTCAAGGACCACGGCGAAGGCCCCGAGTGGCGTAGGCTCGATGCAGGGCAAAGGCAAATGCCATCATGGCAGAGGCGGACAGGAGGACCCAGGAGGCGGCAGGAATCAATGAGGGCCTCCGCCGACTGAAAGGGGATCTCCCATGGCGCATGGATCCTAAATGGCAAATGGGCCTCCAATGGGTGCGGGATAAGGCCCATAGAGCAAGGTGGTTGGTGAAGGAGGAGACCCGAGATGCCCTCGGAGGTTTGCTTATGTACGGGAATATCCCAAGAATATGCTCGTACTGCCTAAGGGCACGTTTGTAAATGAACCTCATCATGCACAATGGCCTATAAAAGGGGGGAGTGAACCCTATGTAAAAAGGGAGGTTGTTAAATGCTATTTATGAAACCCTAATTGTGTTTGAGCCCACCTAAGTTCTCATCCTTGCATTGAGCCTTCGCCCAAGCGGAGACTCTATCTCTACTCACTCTGTTGGGATCCGTTATCCCAACACAAACCGACCACTCACTGTATAAGATCATTGTTGGATACCCATTTTTCTTTGGCATTGGGATTGTCTATGCAGCATTATGTAATCACTCAATCTAGTATTCGGAACCAAGTACCTTCAATTTGCACATTCAGAGTTCCAACACACAGAAAACATGTGTGAGCATGCACATGTAAACAACCAACTGAGCATGCACATGTAAACACACATCCACATACTGACACGTATACATGACAGTGAATCGTGATAAACTAGATAGAGCAATAAAATTTGGAGCAATAAAACACATCCACATACCGACACTTACCTGCTGGGTTGGAAGGACCGGAGAAACAAGAGTTATCAATTACTGAGCTGGAGTTTGCAAAGCAAATGATCGTCGTCCTGCTGGAGTTTGGGAAGCAAAAATAAGCGCCGATGGTAAGTTATTTAGTCAAAGCTAATGTTTCCATTAATAACTACTGAAAAAAAATTCAATCCAGGCTGCTACCTCTGTGTCGGGATGGTCAGATGAGGAGACCATTTCGTCGGTGTTTGTTCTGATCAGATGGATAGTTGGATGATTACGGTGAACCTCGGCTGCATGCCTAAAAGCTGGTTCCATTTTCTCCACCTCACACAGGCTGGCACCCGCACAGTCGATGGAAATAACGGCTTTCTGAAGAAGTCGGTACGACTGCAGGTGGGCGATGAACCTAGCATCAGGATCATCCTTCGACCGGAGCACACGGCAACGTGGTTGAATGTGTTGCTGAAGCTGAGAATTGCAAGGAGCCGAATGCAGTAAACAGGTCAATAAATAGTACCCACGCAAATTAAACGTATTTTTTTAATAGATAGGGACTCACCAGATCCTCGCTTTTTTCGTCAGATAACATATTTTCTTCACCTGCTCGATCCACTTTTATAGTTGGGCGGTTGGGATGATTTTCCACCGCACGCGTGACCATGGCCTCCACCTCCTGCACTTCTGCGGCAGTAGCACCCGAGCAGAAGACTGTGACGGTGACTTTCTCAAGTGAAAGGAGGTTATCCAGGCCCAAGTCAAGATCTTCGATTTCATCCTTTGTTGGGAACTGCTCCAACAGCACATCATTTACTACCCAACTCCAATACCCTGCATAAACGCTAAACCACAGCTCTTCGAGCCTTGGCATGAAACTTGAGCGCTGTGCCCACATCACAGAACCTCAAATTCCTGAAGCCGTCCTTACCAACAGTATACCCTGGAGGCCAGTTGAAACCCCCTAGCAGGAGGTAGCTCAGCTCTGGCAGTCTCGCCAGGTTATCTAGGTCCTGTTTTTCAACAGTATACACGATCACAGATAAGGAGCAGAGGCAGGGCAGGCTGCAGCGATTGATCCACCGAGGCAGCCGTGACAAAATGATGCAGTGTATAAGCAGTTGACGGAGCTGCCTAGGTGTCTCCCAGTCTTCCCACGCATTGGCTCCCTGTTGCGCTGATCCTGTAGAAGGAAGCACTAGTTCTCGGAGTTCCTGCAGATTGCAAAGAGATTGCACCAATGCTTTTTGCAAGTTTTCATCTAGTTCCTCGGAAAAGGTGATAGTGGCCACCCTCAGCCTCGTCAGCTTCCCAAGCGCTACCACCAGGTCCTCAGTGGCATTCCGACCAACTACGCTGTCTAGCCGTAGGTCCTCAAGGGATGTTAGGCTCCCCATCCTGTCAGCTGGCAACCTTCTAAACCCAACAGCTACCAGGCACATCAGCTGTGTAAGCGAACAAACAGCCGGTGGCAGCTCGTCTAGCCCTGTTTTCTCTAAGTACAGTGTCTGGAGAGACTTCAGATGCCCAATTTCCTTAGGAAGCTCATCAACAGGTGTGTCAGATATCTCTAAGTACTTGAGATGCAACAACGTCCCTATATGCTTTAGGCTAATCGGGACGTAGCAGTTTTCTATATTTAGCACACGGCAAACTCTGAAGCTATGAAGTGGGGCCATAACCTCAATCTTACTATCAAAAATGTTAAGTGACCTCATCACCTCTGGCATGTCCATGGCGTCTTCACGGATGCGTTGCACATGGTGATTTTTGACAGCCAGCCGGCGTACCTTGCTGTCCGAACGAGGCATGCTGGTATTCTTCTCTCTCCTTAAACTGTCTGGAGATGCATGTTGCTCCATGCTTCCCAAAAACGTAACAAAGTTTTCATCTCTCGACAACTTGCTGATGAGATCAAACACAATATCATGAATAAGGAACCATTGTGTGAACCGATCATATCTGTCTTCCATCGTTTGGATCATGCTTCTATTGACAAGCTCGTTGAAGTATCTTTCTCCAGCCTCAAATAGGCTGCCGTCCTCTTTCTCAAGATGGACAAAACCTTCACCTATCCACATCCAAATGACACTCTTTTTACCATGGATATTATCTTCCGGAAATATGCTTAGGTGCAGTAGACATGGTTTTAAATAAGAAGGTAGATCAAAGTAGCTATATGAGAGTATCTTCGTTGTATTGTCTCCATTCCCAAAACCAATTGAGTCATAAACCTTTGACCAGTCATCATATGGTCTTTCAACCAATAAACTAGCCATTGCAATGATAGCCAATGGTATGCCGCCACACTTATCTATGATTTTACTAGACAATTCATCTGATACACCATCAACACTTTCTCCTTTATGGCTCTGTATTCTTTTGTAGAATAATTTCTTAGAGTTTCCATGAGAAAGAGGTTTCAGTCTGTAAACCTCTCCTGCTTTTGTGGCAACCTCAAAATTACGAGTAGTCATGATAATTCTACTTCCACAATTATTGTCCTTCAAGGCATATCTGATCGCTTTCCACGATTCAACATCCCATATGTCATCAACAACAATGAAGTACCTATAATTGACACAAGAATGTAGAGTTATGAATAATTTTGCAAATCTGTATAGTCTATCCATATAAACCTAGACGCACGATAACATCTACATGATTCTAGCAAGTAAACATTGCAACCCACTCCATGGGAGAGGAATATTTGTTAACCAATTTAATCTGTGCTACAACATAAAAATCCAATCTATATAAATTTGGAAATTCCATAGATTTTTCTAGATGTTTGGCCAAAACTGAAACTTTTCATAACTGAAATTCGATTAACATTTCGTCAAAATTGAAATTTTTCCTAACTGATTTCACCGAATGAACCAAATGCCCATGCTTAGGGCTTGGTATAAAATAGGAATGTATACACTGCTCACACTCTACTAGTAAATAAAAAACATTGAACTAAAACCGGACGGAGAATGCCATGGACATACCTCTTATCCGTTAAGAATTCATGCAGTTCGTTTCCAAATTGCTCTATATCCCATCTGGCCATGTCGACTTGCTTATACTTCTTATCGAATTCCACTAATATCTTCTCAAATGTCCTAGTCAGATTAGGAGTGCTACCAACACAAATAAAAGCAGAACAACCGAATTGTTTCTTAAGCATATCAACCACCGTTATGGCTAGCGTAGTCTTACCCAATCCTCCAAACCCGACTATAGACACTACCTTTAGGTCCTGATCAGAAGCATGAGCATGAGCATCATCTTTGGTCCCTATAGATAGCATCCTGATGACTCTGTCCCTTGACTCTTCGATGCCAACGAGATCCGACTCTTTCTTGTAGAGATTGAGGACACGGGGGTCGATGCCAGTGCTCGCGGCAAGATCAGCTCCCACGCCTCTAACTGTGTACTTGGCACGGAGCTCAGCCAACTCGTTGGAGAGCTTCTTTATGTCTTTGACCTTGTCGGAGATCTGGTGGCGATGCTTGACCTTCTTCATTGCAGCGGTGGCCTTGCCAAGGATCTTCTTGAAGACGTTGGCGTCGGTGGCAGTTGCAGACTTGCCACCATTAGCCACGCGCAGGATGAAGTCGTCGACGGTGTCCTCCATGTCATACGACAGCTCCCGGACCTGCCGTGCCCAGAGCTTTTCCACCTCACTGAGCTGGTCCGGTGGTACCCGAGACGAGTCCTCCAGAGAGGCTTTCATCATCACAAGCTCCTTGGAGAGGGACTCGATGTCGGGCTTGAGGCCCTTCTGCACGACGTACTCCGCCGTGAGCAGCTCGCCCAGCTTGGGGGCCAGGCCGGCCATGGCCCCCAAGGCGAGCTCCATGCTCAGCTGGACCGCTCAGTGGAGTGCTCTCACACTGTCTCTTTTGCTTGCTTGGTACATGCTCGTTGGGTGCATAGCAACAAATGCTGAAGCTAGAGATCTACGCTAGTCCCACATGTGCCAGGCCCTTTAAAGCCTAGCAATATGACGTACGTAGAACGTCATGTTACAGTGCGCGAAAGGGTCAACCCGAAACTGGCCCCTATTCGGATTCCAAGTGCGTGTTTAATTCGCGAATTTTGGGAATTTGGCTACTGCAGCACTTTCGTTTTTATTTAGCAATTAGTGTTCAATCATAGACTAATTAGGCTCAAAACGTTCGTCTCGTAATTTCCAATCAAACTGTACAATTAGTTTTTTTTCGTCTACATTTAATGGTACATACACGTATCACAAAATTCGATGTGATGGCTACTGTAGCAGTTTTTGAGAAACTTTTTGAACTAAACATGCCCTTTGCTGAAGCATATGGAAACCGGGTGAGTCCCCGTCAACGTCAACTCCTCCGTTACTCCTTGCATGTGACGACTGACGCGTGACAAAGGAGCACACAACGCATGCCAGACGCGGTGGACACGGTCCTTGTGATGTGCGCTGTCTCCTACCACCGCTTGACAAATCACCAATCACGCGTCGCTGTCACATGGTGGTACCGTATAAGTATTCTGGACGCAAGTGGACGCCGTCGGCACGCACGTCTATGAATTCATTAATTACTCGCTCGTACAGTACGTATCTAGTACTCCCTCCGTATCGGTAAATAAAGTCGTTTAAGGGTGCGGTGTCGTTTGCTCAAATGAAGTCGCTTTAGTTGCGCTAAGCTAGTTTTGGACGTGAATGCCCTGACTCCTCGTTTCCCTCCGCGTCCCCTTCCTTCCTTGCTCGCTCGCACGCACGGGGTCCGGGAGCGGACGGACGCGCTCAACGGCTGCCATCAGCTCCGCGCCCGCCACCGTCGGACTACGCCGCGCCGCTTCCTTCCTTGCCTCCGCTCGCTGCACGCTTGGACGCCAGGCAATAAGCCAATAAATCGCACGTCCGTCCAACGAAGTCTCGGCGGAGGCCGTCGTGCCCGAGGCCGTCGAGCCGGACTCTGTCGCGTCCATGCAATCGCTGCATACTCCGGCACTAGGAACACATTGCTACTATTTCTTCGATCTATGAAACGCACATATGAAAAAGAAAGAAGATGCAAAGATCACGCATCTGTGAAAACAAAATCACACGTAGCAACTCGGCACAGAGCCATGCAAAATCATGTGTCAAGCCCTGTCAAAAAAAAATCACACGTCATGCAAACATACAGCTCCAGTGATGGATCGAACCGTGGCCTCCCGCATCGTGCCGGGGCGCGCTAGCCACTAAAGCTATGCAAAAATCCACTCTAATTAATCACTCCTTGTATGCTAAATGCTGTCCAAAACGACCTTAATTACCAGTATGAAGAGAGTAGCTATTTGGCCCGTTACATGAAAAAAAAAGTTAGAGAGAGTAGTCAACAATCTGTTACACGTAGTCTAAGAGTATGAGAGAGGAATATATGGATCCAATAGTATATAGAAAAATAAGAATGTACTCAGTATAAAATAGTCTTTGCTTTTGTCTCTCATCTCCACATAAGCTGGGTAGGTAGCTAGCACCATTGCGGACGCCCTAAATGTCGTGGTGTAATTCGTACCGGTTAAACCTGAGAAAATTTGATTAAGTTTATAGAAAATATTAGAAACATTTGTATTTATAAGTACATTTGGTATAAAAATAGATTCGTCGACCTATCCATTTTACACCCGCGTCGTGTTCCTCGTGCCCTGCCTGCCCGCCCCCACCTTCCTCGCTCACGCCCCCACCAGCAGCTCCCTCAACGCCGACCGCGCCGCCCACTGCCTGCCCTCGTCGGTCGAGCCCGCCCCCCTAAACACAAGGCAGTGTGCCAGCGACGTCCTCCTCGTCCTCGTCCTCGCCCCCACTCCCGCTTCTCGACCCCGCCATCCCCTAATCCTAGGGCAGGACACCGCTTTTGTTTTTTTAATTTTAATTTTGTAAATTTATGTTTCATGAATTAGCCAACAGAACAGGGCACCTGTGTTCGGAGCTTCCCCCGCGCCTGCCTTCCATTTCCTCGTGAGGGAGTTTGGACTCGCACGCTCCTGCCTCTTCCGATACGTTCCGCGTGAGCACGTGTGCCGGGGCCGTTCCCCGCTAGCTGCTGCCCGCATGAGGGAGTCCGCCGCGCTCTCTGATGGACTTGGCCACCGCGACGGCTGGCGAGGCGGCACCACCACCATATGAACGCATGGCCGCCACACCTCCCATCCTCTGCAGCGACGAAAAGCATATACGGTGGACGTTTGGGAGAGTCCACGATGATTCCGCTCCACGGCAGGCTCTCAGAAAAGACGAAAACACCTGCTATGTTAGGAAACTGGAAAGGAAAAATAAGTAAGTTCTAATTAATGACTATTTTTCATTACTTTGTGGTAATTTTTCTTGGCCGATGGCTGCGTTTTGCAGTAACAAAATGCGCAAACATGTGCTTTCAGACAAAGTTCATAGCAAAACCATTGTTTTATACAAGATTCAGCACAGAGCATTAGATTTATTTAGAGCAGAGACAAATCAGAGCAGGCTGCTGTACACAACGTATTCTAGGAGTTCCTGAGTTTCTCAAGAGTACATCAGCCTAAGACATATCCATAAATAAACTCCATTAATTTTTCGAATGCTAGATACATCAGCCTTCAACCAATCATGTACATCTCCGCCTTCAACCAGCTCTCAGCATCTCGCTCGCATGTTAATAAGCTCGACAAGCCTTCTCGACAAGCCATATTACAATCAATTAGAAAATGCTCTGTTCCTGGCCTGTTCCACGCCTAGAGCCTGTAATGTTTTTTTTTGTTTGGCCCAAACCAAGCAAAGCCTAATATCTGACAGGGATTTTTGGGGAGCATGGTCACACTGTGATCCAATGGGGGATTTTTGGGGAGCGATGATGATAGTCCCCCATTTGATTTCCCTTGCGAGAAGGAACACCACAGTACAGTATCCACACCACACTAGCACTAGCACAGACACAGTGCTCTGGCTCGGTTTCACCCTCGTCTCAGTATCTGACAGGGATGGTCCATGTTGCATATATTTCCTCTTCCTCTACCATGTGCTGCTTTTTGGCAAGTGCTAGTCCATACATAATTGGTGGTGAACATTTTCAGAATCTCACTCAGGCTGTTGTCTGACCTTCTCCGTCTCCAACAAGCAAGAAAAACACTACTAGTGAAATTCTCGTCTCCACCTCGGATTTTCTAAACACAAGGCTGCTTTTGCCAAAAAAAAAATCATATACAGACCTTGTTGTGACATGCATTCCTATGTTAGCTCCTGAAACATATGAAACAACCAGATGAGACACTTGCAACAGAAGTATGAAACACCCGAAACACTTGAAACATATGCTTGCAACATGCATGTATATGCAACGTCCAGATGAAAACACTTGCAACATACGTCTGATACAGATGAAACATTTAGAACATACATTTGAAACGTACGTGTATAGCCACCGCAACATGTGCAACACTCGGATCTACTTTTGCAACATCCTAATCTACTTTTGCAACGTCGATAAAAAAACACTTGCAACGTGCCTCTGAAATATCTGAAACACTTGAAATATACGTTTGCAAAATGCTCTTTCAACGCAAACATCTTCTTGTTGCTTCGGCGAATGGAGGCTCATCAGCGCGTGGAGGTCACTGGTGTGCTCACCGCAACGCACGCGGAGTGTGGTAGGCGGCGGCGCACGTGAGGGCAGGTGGGGGTGGCGTGCGGCAGTCATCGTGTGCTTGTCGGCCATGCTGAGCTCACCGCAACGCAGAGTGAAATTGGCGGCGGCGCACAAAGAGCGGGTGGGGCGGCACGCAAGCGACGGTATGCGTTTCGATTTCGAAAACTTCTAAGGATTTCATAACCCGTTGGAAAAATCTAATAATGATACAAATCTGTCTTGAGTCATCCGCTGGAAAAAAAAAACAAGCTTCCGTAATCAATGTTCTTTTGTTTATTTTGTTGTGCAATGTTGGGGACTAGCTGTAGCAGTCTAAGAACGAATACTGTTGAAGCAATGATTTGCCTTCAAGAACATCCTGAGAAGCTAGCTTGTTCTTCAAGTGGTAGCACCGTGCGCATCTTAGTACTGTGGTCTGAAATTTGAGCTACATACATATTTCTTTTGTTGCCAAAATTAAAGTGTTCGTGTTAGTTGATCTCCACCAATAGGCCCAACGGCCTATTGGGCCCTTGCCTCTGCTCCCTGATCGGGGGAACCCAACCCTAACTAGTTGGTGGGCCTCTGTTGCACAGCACATATATATAGAGGAGTCGGGAACTGGGCTCGGGTCACGAGGTTGAACGGAGCCGCCATCCCACTCATAGAAACCCTAAACCGATCTAAAGGTCGTGCTGCCAGCGACGGGATGTGTCCCACCACCGTCGTCGCCCCACTGCAGGGTCACCACCGGACCGCCGTCTCTCCACCAGCGCCACTAGACTTCACCGCCACCTCGCTGGACGTCTTCTACACTACGGCACCGACGTCTACCCGCTGCGGTGCGTCTACCGAGAAGACAAGGAGAGGCTTACCGGATCTACGGTCACACAGAGAGGTACACTCATTCATGTTCCTAACAATGGTACCAGAGCCAGGTTGCCTCTGTGTGACTCTAACCCTAATCGGGTAAAAGAAACGGAAAAGGGACCGGGGGCGGCGGAGGTCACTGGAACCCAGGTCACCACCGCCACAGCGCGGGAAAAGTGCCGCACTGACACGGCAAGAAAGAACAGATTCGTGTTCGGATCAGAGAAGAAGTAAAGAAAGGGGAAAAGGATCTCAAGAACCCTAACCCTAACCCGCGCAGAAAGCTCGGGGAACAAGAAGAGAAAAGAACCGAACACTTCCTTTCTGATCTGAATAGAGAAGGGGTTCCCTAACCCTAACCCTAACT